ATCATTTATAAATGATGCTTCTTCATAAATGCACAAATTGCAATCCGTATATATAGACTATAAAGTGGGGGCCTTTATTTATACTTAGTTAAAAAGTGTGAATGTATTTGGGAGTAATGACAGCCGTTAATAACTTCAAACAATGTTAGGGCTTTTTTGTCCTATCAATATAACGGTATCACATTTTAATAATAATGTACAAGCCTTCATGCACTCACAATTATAATGTTTTTAGATATATATATATATATATATATATATGATGAAACTTCATGTCAGGCCGGCCATACGGGCTGCCCCGTCCGGCCGAGCCCGTTTGGGCACCTTCCCGGTAGAATTTTTTTATGAAATTTTTTGAGCATGTTCCTCATCAAGTCTAGTTTGTCCATACCAAATTTCAGCTCAAAATTCAATCGGTAAGGTCGTCAAATGATTTTTGCAAGTTAACTGGTCCGGAATATGTATTTTCCGGACCAGTTAACTTGCAAAAATCATTTGACGACCTTCCCGATCGAATTTTGATCTGAAATTTGGTATGGACAAACTAGACTTGATGAGGAACATGCTCAAAAAATTTCATCAAAACATTCCACCGGGAGGTGCCCAAACAGGCTCGGCCGGACGGAGCAGCCCGTCAGGCCGGCCTGATGAGAAGAGCTCTCTCTATATATATATATATATATAAGAGATCAAATACAAACCATGCTTAAAATACTGACCTACAAACTCAATAATATGCAACACTTTATATATATATGTGTGTGTGTGTGTGTGTGTATACACACATATAATGTATCAAAGCTTACTCCAAAAGTGAAACCAAAAACGCAAAAAAAAATTACTTTGGCATAAAAGTATGCTGCTCGCATGAAGTCCTTTGCAGAAAAAGCAGATTCGGCCTGCATACAAACGTTAATTCTATGAAGATATTATTATTAAATGCAGAGACGAGATATAAAATTTTCCATCATTTGCAATTTGCAATGGAGCCAAAGACTCATTATTTTTTTGCTTGGGAATATGATGGAACAAAGCAAAATGGCTCACTAAATTGTTTGTGCTTCTTCTTTGTTACGAAGCAGCAGTCAGTCTATGCAATTTTTGATGTGATTTTCACTATGGGTCGTCTGGAAACAGTCTCTCTATGCTTTAGTACAGAGATATGACTGTGTACATCCATCCGACCACCCCTACCCTACCATAGGTGGGAGCCTTTGCAGCACTGGGGTAATGGTAACGACGAGCTGTAAATTCCGTACTTTATATTTTGTGTGTCATCCATTGTTGCATAAGTTCTAACATCAAAAGTGAAGACGAAATTATCCTACAAACTAAAAAAAGACCAAAAAACTGGGAGAAGAAAATAATATTTATAATATCATCAACCAGAACCTGCACAAGATAGACTTGATCCCTCTGCAGGTGATCATTACAAATAGCCAATGCTGCAGCATATTCCTTCAAGTCCAAGTATACCTTCCACATATCCCGGGCTTCATCATTAACAGACACCTAACTAACCATATCATAGTTATTAACAATTCAATCCAAATAGACTACATCAAGTGCATCAATCATTGATACTTGATATTTAATAGCAATAAGATGACACACCTGGAAGATAGAGTTTTGGTCATAAGCATAAAACAGCCCAGCAGATGCATCACTGCATAATCCACTAATTCCTGTTGAAACTGCATCACGTGTTTGATCAAAAAAAAGTTCTTCTACGATCTGCTTACTAATCCGGTTCACTATCTGCCAATAAAAAATCAAGACATATATATAATCAATACAATAAGAATTGTGAAATCAATTTATTAAATTAGATGCTCAAGAGTTTTCTTTTAAACAAGTACTTAATGAGAGAAACACTTCCAGTGATGCTCCTTGAAAACTACACCGAATGCACATCTAGTTAGCAAAATCTAAATTCAGAAACATGATTTTAGGTTAACATAGGATGATAGAACAGACTAGTGGCTCATGGGGAACCAAAAACATCTCTAGAATACAAAAAAGGATTGTTAATACCTCGATGCCCATGTTATTCACAAAACAAAAACAGTAAATATATTTAGACCATCAACAAATGGAGTAGGAAAAAGAATAATATAGTAGTGAGATTCAAAAGTATGGTAAGGAAACATAAGGAGAAAATATCATTGTTATCTCCGGTTAAATGGAAAAACAACATAAAATTATGACAAAAATGCCATAGTGCCAATACACATGCATATACTCATAAACATATTCTTAAAGGCAAAATTGAGGCAACCACCACTCTTTGAAGAAGAGCCTCAAGACGTACTTTTTGAGGCTTAGCCTCACAAAATCCCTAATAAATAGGAATCCAAGACGATAGTATTCAAAAAGTTTAGGTTATAACTTTAAACCCATAAAATGAATGACACAATTACAGCCTGTGAAAGATATAGAATATAGGGAAAAGGTGCAAATAGGCCCATGTACTAACCAAAAAAGGTCAAATAAGCCCTTATTTAGGAGGCTCTGTCCGGCCGTCGTCATTTGGGGTGGTTCCCGATGGAATTTTTTGATGAATTTTTTTGAGCATATTGTTCATCAAGTCTAGTTTACTCATACCAAATTTCAGCTAAAACTTCAATCGGGAAGGCATTCAAATGAATTCTTCAAAATAACTGCGCAGTTAGAAGCGCATTTATCTTCAAGAATTCATTTGAATACCTTCCCGGTTGAAGTTTTAGCCGAAATTTGGTATGAGTAAACTAGACTTGATGAATAAGATGCTCAAAAAATTTCATCAAAACATTTCACCGGGAACCACCCCAAATGGCGACGGCCGGACAGAGCCTCCTAAATAAGGGCTTATTTGACCTTTTTTGGTTAGTACATGGGCCTATTTGCACCTTTTCCCTAGAATATACTTTAGAATATTAGAATATACTCCAAAATATTCTAGGAATATACTTTACGATATTATTATTGTATAGAATCTTATATAGGAATATTCTATTTGTAATGTATATTTATAGGGACTTTCACAACTAATGAAATACACAGAAAATCCTTCTCTCCATCTTTATTATCATTCTAGTTTATATTTCAACATGGTATCAGAGCCTTCCATTTCATGTAGTTTTTCCTTTGAGATTTCAGTTTAGTTTGTCATTATCTCTATCTCAATTTAGTTTTCAAACTGTGTTCTTTCTCCAAGAAATTGATTTCAGTCCACAGTCTTCAAGAACCTCTGATCTCAGACTTTTCCCAGAACCTTTTTCCGGAACTTCTTCCCAGAACATCTTCCCAGAACCTCCCATCTCAGAAGCCCGCAACCCTTTTCACACTCTGGTTCACCTCCCTCATCCTCTGGTTCGGCTGCCGCCGTCGACCAACCACCCGGAGTCCGCACGCCCAAATCACCTCGCGTGAGTTACACGCGCCGTCGGAAGCTCCCGCAGCCAACACACGCGCCGGCGCGTAACGCCGTGTTTTTGACCGGAGATTCTAACAGCGAGCATCGTCAGATTCGCCGGAGTGTCCTGTAGCAATATCCAGGTATAGATAGAAGGAAGGCTGGGTCTTGGCTGGCATCGGATATCTGCGTTATCTGCGGACATACGCACGCTCATATCTGCGGACATACGCACTGTTTCGTCTGGTTGTTATTCAGGGGGGATTTGCATAGGAATTCTGTCTGGAGTAGCAGTCAACGGCCCAAGCAAATTGGATATTCTATTCTCCAAAGTTTAGTCCCCAAACGGGAAAAGCTTATGTAAGTTTTCCACCTTTATCTCAATTTTGAATTTAAAAAAGAAAAGAAAAAAAAAGAAAAAAAAGGGTGATAAAAAAAAATGTTCTGTCCTCGTGAATTTGGAAAACAGTTAATATGCAACTACTCTAAGAAATCTGGGCACTTGATCAAAGAATGTAGAAAATTGGCATTCAAAAATCAAGGAAATTCGACTGCTCATGTTGCTTCCGCTACCAGCTCATCTGATGGATCCATTGCTATTTCTTCAGGCGAGTATGCTAAATTTATTTGCTACCAAGAATCTCTAAAGCATTCCTCTATCCCTATCTCGGTAGTCGCAAATTCAGGTATTTCAAACACATGTCTTGTTTCATCATCCTCGAAAAATGGGTCATTGACTCAGGTGTCACAGATCATATGACTGGTAATCCTAGTCTATTCTCATCATTTCACTCGCATTTACCTACTTCCAGTGTCACTTTAGCTGACGGGTCTACCTCACCCGTTCTAGGATCCGGTACTGTTGTACCAACTTCTACATTACCATTATCGTCTGTTTTGAGTCTTCCTAATTTTTCGTTTAATCTGCTTTCCATCAGTAAAATCACACGTACTCTTAATTGTTCTGTAACATTTTTTCCGGAATATTGTGTGTTTCAGGATCTGTTAATGAAGCAGACTATTGGTAAAGGACATAAGTCGGCTGGTCTTTATATTTTGGATACATCAATCACAAAAGGTATCTCTTGTCTTGGGGTTGGAAATCTATTAGAAGCTCATTACCGATTAGGACATCCATCTATCCCACTAATGAAGCAAATATATCCTCAGTTTAATAAGGTGTCATCTATACAATGTGAGTCGTGTGAGTTTGCAAAACATCATCGCACTAGTTTAAGTCCCCGACTTAATAAACGAGCAAATGCTCCGTTTGATCTTGTCCATACCGATGTTTGGGGGGCATGTCCAGTTGTGTCCAAATCTGGTTTCAAATATTTTGTTACTTTTGTTGACGATTATTCTCGTATGACATGGTTGTACTTCATGAAGCGTCGATCTGAGTTATTTACTCATTTCTCTGCATTTTGTGCTGAAATTAAAACTCAATTTAATGATCCTGTTCGTGTGTTAAGGGGAGACAATGCCCTGCTCCATTTAAATCTTTTATGCTTCAACATGGCATTATTCATCAAATTTCATGCGTAGACACACCTTCTCAAAATGGAGTTGCTGAAAGAAAGAATCGACATCTGTTAGAAACTGCAAAGGCTCTTCTATTCCAAATGAATGTGCCTAAACAGTTTTGGGCTGATGCGGTGTCTACTTCATGTTTTTTGATCAATCGTATGCCATCTTCTGTTTTGGATGGTAAAGCTCCTTATCAATGCCTTTTTCCAAATAAAGAACTTTTTCCCATTCCACCTAAAATATTTGGTTGCACTTGTTTTGTTAGAGATGTTAACCCTCATCGCACGAAGTTGGATCCCAAATCATTGAAATGTATTTTCTTAGGTTATTCTCGAGTTCAAAAGGGGTATAGATGTTTTTGTCCAAGTACAGGTCGATACCTTATTTCTATTGATGTCTCATTTCATGAAAATACACCTTAGTCATCATCCAAGACAGATATTCATGAGGACAATGATGACATACTCATTTACACAGTTACTATACCTGAGACCACACCTTCAGTAACTATACCGAATGTTACTGTTCCTGACCCTAGACCTCCAGTACACTTGGTTTACACCCGTCGACACAAAGCACCAGATCACTCTCCACCTGTGACACCTGTGATTACTCATCCTGATACTGATCTGACTTCGATCTCATGTCCTGAACCAGTACCTGCATCTTCAGATCTTGTCTCTACATCAGATCTTGACCTCCCGATAGCACTACGTAAAGGTACACGGTCTTGTACTCATCATATTTCTTCATTTGTGTCATATAGTCGGTTATCCTCTGCCTCGTGTTCTTTTATTGTTTCCATTTATTCTATTTTTGTTCCCAAATCTGTCAAAGAAGCTTTGTCTCATCCTGAATGCCGTCATGCCATGGTAGAGGAAATGAATGCTTTGGATCTTAATGGTACTTGGGATTTGGTAGACTTGCCTACAGGGAAGAAGTCTATTGGATGTAAGTGGGTCTTTGCTGTTAAGGTTAACTCAGATGGATCTGTTGCTCGATTGAAAGCTCGATTAGTTGCGAAGGGTTATGCTCAAACCTATGGTGTTGACTATTCTGACACTTTTTCTCCTGTTGCTAAATTAACATCTGTCAGGTTACTTATTTCACTCGCCGCAACTCATGATTGGCAGTTACATCAGTTGGACATTAAAAATGCATTCTTGCATGGTGACCTTCAAGAGGAAGTTTATATTGAGCAACCTCCGGGATTTGTTGCTCAGGGGGAGTATGGGAAAGTTTGTCGACTTCGCAAATCTCTTTATGGTTTGAAACAGAGTCCTCGTGCATGGTTTGGGAAATTCAGTCAATCTATTGAACGGTTTGGAATGATAAAAGGTCAATCAGATCACTCTGTCTTTTACAGAAGAACGAAAGCAGGTATCACATTGCTTGTGGTCAGTGGCGGACCCAGAAAGTCGGAACCACGGGGTCCCTACCCCTTTATATCTCTAATCTCTAATTAATATAAAACTAATAAAAAATATTAAAGAAGCATAACACCTCATAGTTAACGTACACCATCAAAACATTAAGGTATTATAAAGAAAAAAATACATATACAAATCATTCAACAATTCTATGTTTCATTTGTTGGAAATATAGAATCATCACTAATAGTTTTGGTCTATTTAATTAAAATAGGCCAAAACGGCGTAGTTTTGGTCTATTTAATTAAAATAGTTTTCGAAAACAAAAAATGTTTGTTGGAAATATTCTATAATAGAATCATCACTAATAGTTTTGATCTATTTAATTAAAATAGGCCAAAACGACGTAGTTTTGGTTTAATTAAAATAGTTTTGGAAAACAAAAAAGGAGCCCAAAATACATTAAGGTATTATAAAGCAAAATAATACATATAAAAATCATTTAACAATTCCATAGATGTACCCTCTTGAGCTTCATTTGTTGGAAATATTCTATAATAGAATCATCACTAATAGTTTTGGTCTATTCAATTAAAATAGGCCAAAACGACGTAGTTTTGGTCTATTTAATTAAAATAGTTTTGGAAAATAGAGAAAGTTTTGTTGGAAATATTCTATAATAGAATCATCACTGAAAGTTTTGGTCTACTTAATTAAAATTAAAATAGGCCAAAACAACTTAGTTTTGGTCTATTTGATGAAAACAGTTTTGGAAAAAAAAATAGGAGCATAGGGGATTCGAACATGGTACCCCTCCCAAACATAGAAATCTAAAACACGCGTTGCTACCGTTCCCCTGCTCCATTCTTTTGGTTCCTAGGTCGTTTTTCATGTAAATATACACTTAGTAATTAATTTTATATAATATATGTATAATATATATATATATATATAGGTATTTTTTTCGAGGTGCACGGGGTCCCGGGACCCCATGGGACCCTTACTGGGTCCGCCTATGCTTGTGGTGTATGTCAATGATATTGTGATTACAGGAAGTGATACTGCAGGTATTTTGGCCCTTAAGAATTTTCTTCATAGCCAATTCCAAACAAAAGACCTAGGCTCGTTGAAATACTTTCTGGGTATTGAGGTAACACGGAGTAAGAAAGGTATATTTCTATCTCAGCGTAAATATGTACTTGATTTACTAGCTGAAACAGGAAAAATGGGAGCAAAGCCAAGCACGACTCCCATGGTTCCCAATGTGCAACTCACTCAAGAAGGCATACCATTCGAAGAACCAGAAAGGTACAGAAGATTGGTTGGAAAGCTTAATTATCTTGCAGTCACCCGTCCAGACATTGCTTACTCTGTGAGCGTTGTGAGTCAATATATGTCATCTCCGATCATTGATCATTGGGCTGCTGTAGAACATATATTATGTTACTTGAAAGGAGCACCAGGACGCGGGATTGTCTATCAAAATCATGATCACTTGAGAATAGAATGTTTTGCAGATGTTGACTGGGCCGGATCTAAAGATGATCGAAGATCTACCTCGGGCTATTGTGTCTTTATTGGAGGGAACCTAGTATCATGGAAGAGTAAGAAACAGAGTGTGGTTTCTCGTTCGAGTGCTGAATCAAAATATCGAGCTATGGCGCAATCTGCATGTGAGATCATGTGGATAGGCCATTTATTGAGTGAAATCGGATTGAAGACACCAATGCCTGCTAAATTGTGGTGTGATAATCAAGCTGCCATACACATTGCCAACAACCCAGTATTTCATGAGAGAACAAAGCATATTGAGGTTGATTGTCATTTTATTCGAGAGAAGATACAGAAAGGATTGATCTCTACGGGATATGTGTAGACTGGAGAACAACTTGGAGATTTGTTCACTAAAGCACTAAATGGGATCCGAGTTGGTTACTTATGTAACAAGTTGGGCATGATAAATATCTATGCTCCAACTTGAGGGGGAGTGTGAAAGATATAGAATATACTTTATAATATTAGAATATACTTCAGAATATTCTAGGAATATACTTTAGGATATTATTATTGTATAGAATCTTATATAGGAATATTCTATTTGTAATGTATATTTATAGGGACTTTCACAACTAATGAAATACACAGAAAATCCTTCTCTCCATCTTTATTATCATTCTAGTTTATATTTCAACACAGCCCATTGCACCAAAGCCGGAAAAAATCTTTATGGACACTAACTGTAAGGCAGAACATGCCAGCTTGGCAGTTTAACAAGGCTTAATGTGATTTTAGTCCCAGCAAATATAGTGTTTTTAAGTCACTGCAAAATTATTTTGTTTTTCATATCTGTAATTCAAGTTGTTCTTTTTAGTCCATCGCTGACCATACCAATCCTTGTTTGACATGTCTTCCATTCCCAAGTCGTCCCAAAAGTACTTAAACTTTAATCCCAGAGAGCTATTCAGACCTATATTATAGACATGTATGATTAGTGTCACTTAGTTATAAGTTTTTAACTCCACTAATAGTTTCAAACTGAAATCAAAGTTTGAAGTATCACAATCATGTGGCTAATCCCCTACCCCTGGCTTGAGAGTTTAGCCTCTAATAAACATAATCGTTGAAAAATAATTGACTGAATTCATGTTCAAAAGCAATAAAGAGAATTGATTGGAATAGGCTTTATCTACTACTATGATTAGTGGTACCATGAATCATGTTATTTCTGAATTCATAACTTTTGTGTCTCTGTTTATTTAATTTGCGCTTATCTACCAGAAAAATCAACCAATTTATATTATTAAATCATAGATTAGTCCGAAACCAATCATTTTTATTTTTAGTGCTGAAAATTCACTTGTCCTTGTGGATCGACCCTGGTTCACTCTGGGTTATTTTTATTACGATTGATAGTTAACTAATCTTTCAGGTCCTAGATTGATAAAGTTCCTAAAAAATAATCTTATAAATGTGATAGGATAATATACTGTGATATTGTGTATAGAGGGTCCAGGCCTGGTATTAATTAGATATGGGTCATCCCGTAATGAAAATAATATAAGGATGAGCTGGGAGTAGAAGAGGGGTAGACAGAAATTTGGATAGTTGGCTTGGCCCTTGGGAGAGAGGGACGCTCTCGAATCAGTCCCATTTTACTTTCTGTGTTTCCGTTGTTTCTGCCATCTCTATTCTTGTAATTTTTCTAAAATCCTGGAGTAATATACTGTTCGCATCACTGCTTTGGGGAGTCTCTATCAATATGATCTTGGGTAGCATTAATAGTATTTGCAATTACTTAACAAAGATTAGTATGGAAAATTGAGGCTTGCAGCAAAATTGCTCAACTACGCAAAGCATAATCATCCAAATGCAGGAAGTTAGATAACAAATTGATTTAGTTAAATAAGGAACTAAATATTTTCATATTTAATTTGGATAATGTAATCCACTACAAATAAAGACCCTTCCTTAGTGGAGAGGGCTCGATGATTAAAGCATAATGTTGGCTCCATAAGCTGGGGCCAAGATTTCACTCTTGATGGATTCAAGATACCCTTTGTTATTTCTTATCTTCATTCGAATTCAAAATCTTTATTCTTCTCCTTTAATTAACTGCCTCTTTACTCAAACAAACCCCATATAATTTTCATACGGATCTATCAAGTAGGCACAAAGTCAAGAATCAATCTAATAAAATAGGGTTCATGCTCATAGTGTTGGATATTCATATGTTGATTAGATAGGTTGTCCATTTCAATGATGCTCTCAATTTAGGTGTGGCAATTTAAAAGCCTGGAATAGTAACAGCCAAAATGTCATTTCCAGATCAGTCGCAAAAGCTGAGATGCTATGACCGTAGCCACATGATAACTTAATAGGTGGAAGCACTTATTTCAAGAGTTGCACTATGGTGATAAGTGGTGACAAAGAAGCATAGTAGTATAGTACATTGCCTCGCATCCAGTACACTATGAGAGGGCTAATCACAATGAACATCCAAATTGTCTCTCAGGTCAATTGCAATTTTGTAAGATATGTATGATGTGCATAGGAATTAGGAAAATAAAAATGGGGTTTATTGCAAAATGGAAATATGCATAAAAACATGGTAGACTCACCTTTACTTTGTTTCCGATAAGGAGAAGAAAATGAAACTCAGACACCGCCATTGAACTTGGTTTAACAGATTCAGTCCCTTCTAATAGATTCAAATAGTCCAAAAGAGCTTTATTTTCCACAAAGTTTTCATCCCCACTAGGTGAGCTGCACATTGGTTTTTTATGTCCAAGCAAACAAAAAATCAGAGAACAAACTTTCCAGAAAAGTCAAAAGTTCATTCAACCAGAAATGATCATGTTATGGAAATGTAGCTAAAATTGAAAAAAAAAAAAGTCATATGAGAATATACGGAGTATAAAACAAGTCAAGGTTCTCATCTTGTACCTGTGATGTGCACCAAAGTTTAGGTCACCATGGTAAATTCCAGCACCTGAAAGCCAAGCAAAATGCACAGCTCTCCTTTGCTTTATAAAGAAGTGCAGTTCACTGCAAGAAGGGCATATGGAGTTATTTTTGTTATTCTGGAAATTCAATTAAAAGATTGCACGCATGAGCACATGTGCCCCGCAAATGAAATCCTTAAGTATGCTATGCACTTCTAGGTGGACGTTGCTTAGGTAGATCTCAGATAGCACCATATTAAAAAAGCTTCTGTTAACTAGTAATAAATTTGGCTTTTTAAAGTTAAAGATTTTATCAGTTAAACAGGCTGCGGTGAAACGAGTGTTAAATGTAATGAACTTGCCTGTTTGGTATTTCTCCTGGAAGTTCCATAAAATGAACTGTGCGGTCCACGTAACTAGCAAAAACAGACTGCAGATAGAAAATGAAAAAAAAAAAAAAAAACATGCCAATTAGCACAAAGCATGAAAACTATGCAAAAGTGGGTGTGGGTCGGTGAGTGTGCTGACATATACGCAGATAAAAGTATTATCAATATGATAAATACAGAAAAAAAACATAAAACCTCTAGTGAACCAATCCCGGTGAAAGAATACAAGCGTGTGGGAGTAACAGCCATCACATAATATCTAGTTCCATTGTTTACACTAGCTGTTTCCATCTGCAAAAAAAGGTAAGACTATTATTTCACTTTATCCCTTTTGAAATGGAAAATGAAAATATAAAAGTACAAGTCTTCCCAGTTGGAGACCCTTTACGGAGAATAAAATAAGCAACAACACGAAAAAAATAATATTTACAATACAATTTCAAGTTGTCAACCAAGAAGTGCTCCACAAACCCATGAAACTAAGGAAAAGATACTTTGAAAATTAATTATTACAAAGAGGGAGAAAAAACTATAAAGGTAGAAAAAAATAAACCTGCAAACCCATGAAAGACTCAGGTAGTTCCTTGAGATCAAATAGCAACTTTATGTGTTTCTCCATCTTATCTTTCGCATCTACATACACCTCATAAAGTTGGCCGCTATCTGTCCCAATAATGACTTCCTTTGTTGAAGCTGCATAAACAGCAAATCAAATCAAGGCAGTGCATACGCTACCTTCAGTGGAGTTATGTATAAAAACAAAAGAAACTGTCCCTAGTGCCCACCTTCAGTAATTTGCTGTCGGTTCCAAGCAACAGCATTCACAAGAGACCCTTTCAATTTGCTAAAAATGCGAGGTTTAGCCCATTTTGCATGCATGTAATATGTATCAGCACCTCCACTGCCAACAACTGTGGCAATACAGTGACTACCTCCAGGATCAAGAAAAACTTTATGAATAGACTGTTCCCCTGGTCTACCGGCACAAAGATCAATATCTGTATAAAGTTCATCAATGATGAACATTAACATGTACAATCAGCGTATGATCTTCATTATACAAGATGTTTAAAAAACCCAAATAAGCCTCAATGGTTCTTTCCTATTATGGAGCAAGGCGTAAGCTCCGACCAAAACATAAAAAGGAAAGCAAAAACAAACAGATCCATAATACAAAATAATGCCCAAGTTTACACACGAATATGGAGAATCCTAAAATCAATGAAACTAACTGTCAAATACGGAGTACATAATAATGCCCAAATTTAATGATTTTTTGTGAACCATAGGTAGATTAATGAACTGTGTTTAATCCAGCATTCCAGCCATGTTAATACTGCAAGAACAACATCCAAGCTTTCTTCCCAAAAGGGTTTGGGGTCAGCTAACATGAATCGATGTATGATACCAGAGTTAATCCATCCATTTTAATAATAATAGAAATATATCCAGTCCATCCATTTGTCAATTGTCATGCCTTGAGGGAGAAGAGATGAAAAACAATGGGCAAGAAGAGACAACTAGACGAATAGGGTGGCACACTGGCAATGGGGAAGTGATGGGAAATTATTGTTGTTGTTCGATTTTCAAATTTTGCTAAGTTTTAGCCAATGTATTATTTTAAAGGGGGGAAATACTGATAAGAAAATGGGATGGAAATTCCAAAACCGGGAGGCTTATGCCACAAGGGTGTAAGCTATATCCCCTATACATTTTCTTACAGCTTAGCACCGCCTTAGGGCATACCAGTGTAACTCCAGAAAGCCTTTTAAAACCTTTAGTATACTAGTAATACTACCAAGTAAAAGCAGAGAAAATAGTATGCTCAGAATGAATTGTAATTCCAATCTGGAAACGAATAAAAAAAATCAAGTGAGGTAGATTGTATTATTCTACCACGAAGTTTTGATAAACAGACGTGTATTAAAATCTGGACTAAATCCACATGAAAAATGATGATTCACATTTTTCACAAATTACATTTCATTTTGCTTCCATGTCAATTCCTTCAATTTTCTACAATTTCAATTACATTTCTTTGGCTCTGCTTATTGCTAAATGGTGCAAAATTACAAATATTGTATTAAGGAAGCATTCCAGCTCACTGGTTGAAGCCCTCAGGGAGGTTCGAAACTCTATGAAAGCAGCTTTAGCCATCTTTACCA